ATTCCTCTTGGTTCCCCTGGTTCCTCCTGGTCCTTATTGGTTCTTCCTGGTTCCTCCTGATTCCTCTTGGTTCCCCTGGTTCCTCCTGGTCCTTACTGGTTCCTCCTAGTTCCCCTGGTTCCTCCTGGTTATCCTAGTTCCTCCTTCTTCCTCTTGGTTCCCTTGGTTCCTGTGTGTCAGGTGAGCGGTTCTCCCAGTGGTTTCCAGTGATTTTAGTGTCTCTCCTGTAATCAGTGTTTGTTCTTTGCCTGGTGGATATTAATGGCTTCTCCTCAGCAGTGATGGAAGCTTACTGGAACGAGGCTCCCAGTGCTCCCATTAAGCGGCCTGTTTCCGTTCATTGGACTGACAGTAACCACTAGACCTGTCCGTCTTGTCCATCCTGTCTTGCTGCTAATGTCTCCCCTCTTCTCCATTCTGCTGCCTTTTTTAAAAAGACGGTGTTGCTGCTAAGAGTGACGGTAAGCTCCAGTTTCTGTTAGAGACATCCCCGTCTGTCCTCTACTGATCGACCTGTGTCCCCTCCATCTGTCTTTTCCCCCTCTTGTTGGTTGTGTGGTTGTCCTCTGCCTGTCGTCTTTCATTGGGGACACAGCGTCCTCATCTGGACATGCTTCGTTAAAGCATTATGATCAAAAAGCACGATAACGGTGAGAGCCGTGACGACGCTTCAGTGAGGGACGGTCAGCACATAAAAGACGACGGCAGAACGAAAAACACCTATGAATAAACTGCAGAAGTACTATTAACCAGCAGATCCTCAGGTTGTTATTTCGTCTCTAGAGACGCCGCTTTGTCTCTTGTCCCTCATCGAGGTCCTCCTCAGTCTGTCCTCCGTCTCTCCTCCTTCATATCCAAACTATCGAGTGTCTCTTGTCCCTCATCGAGGTCCTCCTCAGTCTGTCCTCAGTCTGTCCTCAGCCTGTCCTCCATCTCTCCTCCTTCATATCCAAACTATCGAGTGTCTCTTGTGTCTCTGCAGGTCGTGTTCGTATGAGAAGACAGAGCTCCGGCAGCGTGGGTGGAGCCAGTCCATCAGTAGTGGACAGCAGGGGGCGGAGTCGAGCCAAAGTGGTCTCCCAGTCGCAGCGTAAGTCTGTTTGATGATGATGATGAAGATGTGCCTGTCCACCATCTTTATTTCACTGCTGCAGTGAAATCTGCTCATGTCTCATCTGATCGTCTTCATGCTCCACCATGCACACTCAGTTCTCTGGTCATCTGCAGGCCAGAGTGCATGCTGGGTAAAAATCTACAAACATGCATCCATCTGTCTGTTTCTGACTGTCCGCTCTGTCCACTCTGTCCACTCTGCCCTGCGGCCTGTTGCTCCCATCATCCAGGATCCAGATCAGCCAATCCCATCAGTGGTAAGGCCTAAGCTCCACCCGATCAGGTTGACCCCTGACCCCTCCAGCTGTACGCCCCTTGCTCCTCTAGCAGTCTGTGTCGCCTGCAGCTGCATGACTCTGATTCAACAGTTCACTTCTGGTTTCTGCAGTTTTCACTGGTTCCACTGCATCCTTCGTCCTCCATGTGTGTCACTGGGTCCCCCTAAGGCCCGCCTCCTCCCTGCTGCCGCTGCGCCCCATAGGCCGCCCGCCCGCCGTCCAGTTCTCAGTGTGTGTGTCGTTTGCTCCCCACAGCTGGCAGTCGCTCCAGTTCCCCAGGGAAGCTGCTGGGCCAGAGCTACGGCCGCCTCCGCCGGGCCGCGGCGCCGCCCAGCACCGCCGCAGAGAGGCGCAGCAGGATCCCCCGCAGCCAGGGCTGCAGCCGCGAGGCCAGCCCCAGCAGGCCGGGCCTGGGTAGGCCATCCATCCACCGATCTATCCTTCTGAGCATCCAACCATCATCCATCCGAGCATCCATCCACCTATCTATCCTTCTGAGCATCCAACCATCATCCATCTGAGCATCCATCCCCCTATCTATCCTTCTGAGCATCCAACCATCATCCATCTGAGCATCCATCCAC